GGGGGGGGTTGACATCTTGGTGGCTCTCCATAACTGGGAGAGACTGGTGCCCTAGGCAGTGGTCTAGGTCCAGCTAGTGGCTGAGCCACCTCCACCCATTCCCACACCATCACCCCAAGAGTCAAGGCTTCTTCCAGTTTAAAGAGTTGTGATATTATTAAGGAATAGGGACCTTCCTCTGTCCCTGTGACACATTCTGGGGAGAAATTTTGCATTCCTCAGAGCCAAGAATATACCAAATTGACAGAGAGAAAATGTATAGAGTCAGAGAGTCACAGAGCTCATGATTGTACATCTCAAGACTCCCCCATATCAACAGCTTATGCAAGTGTGGGCTGTAGTGATAACACTTTAAGCACAAGATAGTTCCTGAAAACACATCCTTCCCCAGCAACTCTATAGCTCAGTAGGGTCCTGACCAATGATGTAGGGACACTTGTTTGGTGCCCTGAATTCTAATTCTCCTGTATGATTTCCGTGTTCCTAATACTTTATATGAAATGCCAGAGTTAAGTCTCCAGCTTCATAAAAACTTCTTGATCAGTCCTATGTTTTGCCTGTCTACTTCTGGGAATGAAGGCACTCTACCAAACCCTGCCTAAATTCAGTCTCCATCTCACCATATCCATGAGGCCAGTTTGTTATTTTGAGGACTGAAAAATGTTTGTAGACATCCTGTACCTGGCTTATCCAAAAAGGTGCTTCCTTTGTATCCGTTTTCTTAAATTCTCTTTGCCACTTTCCTTTGAAGTATATGGCATTCACCAGGACCAAAACGGTTGATGCAGTAATTGAGTCAGGAGGGAAAAGATTTTTGATTTTACCTTTTAGGAAATGAATTCAAGGGAAAAACATTGTTATAGGCAACTAAACATTTTAATGATTCACTCATTTCTCTCAGCAATGTTTATCACTATTAAAGAGAATCTATAAAATATCAAAAATAATCCAAAATGAATAGACAACCACAACAGAAGAGAAAATTATCCCTTTGCTCTTTAATGAATGGAAGGAATACACTTCCCAGAACTGAAAGCAACCCAGTTCAACCTAGTGAATGCTTCAAATTCACTCTTCAGAAGTGTCTGAATAACTGAGTCAAATTGAGGTGACTAGAGATGAAGTTCTAGAACATGGGTTCCCAACATTGAACTCAAAGGTACCATGATGCTCCCAATACCTTTCCTGGTGCCTATCAAATGTTTTTAGAAAGTGGGTGGGCTCTTGCTCAGCAAGGTTTCTGATTGGTTATGGGAGATCTCAGCTAGAAGAAGTACAGAAGAGAGCAACTAGGATGATTAAAGGGGTGGAGTGCCTTTCCTCAGAGTCTGTGTGACTGATTTTGCACAAGTAGCTGCGCCGCCGTCACGCCTCCCTTTGCCTCAGGTTTGGGAAAAAAAGATGACTGAGGAGGACATAACAGATGTTTATAAAAGTATGCAGGACTAGACCGACAACTGGTCCAATTCAGAAGGTAAATCCTTAGGTTATTATGTTCTTACTAAGTTGACAACTTTAAGTGGGGGGGGGGTTGGTGTTTTTTTTAAATCTTTGCAAAAAAAATGACTGATTTGTTATTATTTGCTTGGATTTCGTGTAGGTCACATGTTTTTATCCTGTTCTGTTGCTATGGCTTTCTTGCTAATGCAATAAAGATATTATCATCATCATCATCATCATTATTATTTTCTTATGATGAGTTTCCATGTAATTGAAAATTAGACCTTTGGCCTCTTACCATTGGTTTGACTCTCAACCCAGGAATTAATCTTCTTTCTCACTTCCTCAGTAGCACGCTGGAAGTCAACTCTTTCCAGCTCAGCACCATGAAGCTCCTTTATGCAACGTAAATATTGCTACACAGATTAAATGCAAAATAATTTTAAATTAGCAATTGTCATCCTGTGCAATGGATGAAAAATTATAATTTTGCATGCCACTCTCTCAAATTTTATTTATTTATTTTATTTTTACCCCGCCCTCCTTGCGAACAGGCTCAGGGTGGCTTACACGGGGGCACAAGCCCATACATAAAAACAGTATAAAACAGTAAAAACTATTAAGTCGCAACAAAACAAATAAAGTGCTCCATACAAACAAGATGGTCTCTGAAGATGGTATCGATCTGTCATGCCTGCCCCTGATGAAGCACCTGACAGCCAGGAGCACGTGGAGTTGGCACCACAAGCCCCTGAGGAACATCCAGAAGCAGAGACTTACAGCCAGGAACTGGCTCCTAACCACTACACCAAACTGGCTCTCCACTACACCAAACTGGCGGCCCCTATATAAAAGCCTGGCAGAAGAGCTCCATCTTGCAGGCCCTGCGGAACTGCACAAGGTCCCGCAGGGCCCTGATCTCCTCCGGGAGCTCGTTCCACCAGGTGGGGGCCGCCACTGAGAAGGATCTGGCCTTGGTTGAAGCAAGCTTTGCCTCCCGAGGGCCTGGAATCACCAGGCGGTGTTGTGTCCCCGACCAAAGTGCTCTTGGGGGTATATGTGGGGCAAGGCAGTCCCTCAGGTAGGTCGGACCCTGGCCATATAGGGCTTTAAAGGTAAGAACCAGCACTTTGAAGTGGATTCGGTACGCTATTGGCAGCCAGTGCAGCTCTTTCAGCCCAGGCTGGATGTGCTCCCACTTGGGGAGACCCATCAACAGCCTGGCCACTGCATTCTGCATTAGCTGCAGCTTCCGGATCTGCGACAAAGGCAGCCCCATGCATTGAAACAGGGAATACAGGGCTGAATGCCTTAGCACCTCAGTAATTCCAAAGTTGTATTCTGCCATAACCAGGAAGGGCAGAAGGTATTCTTATACCTCAAATGACATCACCTATTGTTTACACATTAAAGAATCTCTAATTGGTAGCAAGCAGTTAACATCATATAAGCATAATTTGACTTTAAACCTTACTAAAGTCAAAGTCAAGTACCTTTAATGGCATAGCAGTAAGATACATAGATATACAATAACACGGTATTGATATTAAACCTTATATTAAACCTTACTATTGGTCTCTCGTGTATTGTCAGTGATTACATTTGTTTATCTGCTCTTCGGAGAAATGGGAACATTAGGAAACACTGAGAACCTTTCTGACCTTAATGAAGCTAGTCCCTCTTCCCCTTGTTTCTGGGGAGCTGGGTGATAAGAATTATGATTCACATTCAGCTTCGCTCTTGACGTCCTTGCAGTTTCTTGACTACACATTCCATTCTTATTCTATCCCCAGCGGCCTCTAATAATGATTTCCCTTAACATATATATAACTTTGTATACAAAAGGTACAGTTATAAAACATATTCTACTATAAGCTTCTCTAATCAGAAGATTTCTAGGTTACATACCAAGATCTGGATCTATTATAATTAAACTTCTGAAGGCACAGTAGCAGCTGTCAATATATGAACATGTCAGAGGAAATGTCAGACCCCACATTCAGAAATCACATTCATTTTCCCCTTGTTCTACAGAGTCATGCAGTTTGGAGAAGGGACAGTCCTTTTCCCCTCCATTGGAAACCATGGAGGATGGGCACCTTCTTCTGGGACCTATAGAACTGGACCTCCTCATCCAATCTTTTGGAAACGGGGGGGGGGGTTTGGGGAGAGGGACCAAATAAATAAATGAATAAAATATAAAAAAGAAAAATTCGACAACCCCCATTAATTCCCGAATTCCAGTACCAGGCCGATGCTGGAACTCGGGAATATCAGGAAATACTGATATTTTTTGGATTCAATATACCCGAACCCCCAAAATACCGATTTTTTTCTCTGCATGTCCCTAGTGGCTAGCTACACCTTAATTATTGAAGCCTGCTGGTAACTGGGGCTTTAATTCCATGGCACTAGCCTGAAAGCTCATCGGTGCCTGTCATAAGAACATGAGAAGAGCCCTGCTGGATCAGACTTGTGGTCCATCTAGTCCAGCCTCCTGTCTTACACAGTGCCAAATGGTTTCTCTGGATGGCCAACAGCAGGGCATAGAGGCCGAGGCCTTCACCAGATGTTGCTCCCTGGCTCTGAGATTCAGAGGATTAGTGCCTCTGAATGTGGAGGTTCCTCTCAGCCAACGTGACATTAGCTATGCTGAAAATTTGGTTCCTCTACCTCAAAAACAGCTCCCCCGAAGTCCCAGATACTCCTAGATCGATTGTCCATTATACCCTATGGAGACCATTGACTAAGACTAAGCCTGCCAAATGGTGGGGAGGGCTGGATATAAATATAAATAAATGAATAAAATATAAAAAAGAAAAATTCGACAACCCCCATTAATTCCCGAATTCCAGTACCAGGCCGATGCTGGAACTCGGGAATATCAGGAAATACTGATATTTTTTGGATTCAATATACCCGAACCCCCAAAATACCGATTTTTTTCTCTGCATGTCCCTAGTGGCTAGCTACACCTTAATTATTGAAGCCTGCTGGTAACTGGGGCTTTAATTCCATGGCACTAGCCTGAAAGCTCATCGGTGCCTGTCATAAGAACATGAGAAGAGCCCTGCTGGATCAGACTTGTGGTCCATCTAGTCCAGCCTCCTGTCTTACACAGTGCCAAATGGTTTCTCTGGATGGCCAACAGCAGGGCATAGAGGCCGAGGCCTTCACCAGATGTTGCTCCCTGGCTCTGAGATTCAGAGGATTAGTGCCTCTGAATGTGGAGGTTCCTCTCAGCCAACGTGACTTATCCTGCACGAATCTATCTAATCCCCTTTTAAAGCTGTTCATTCCCGTCCCCATCACTACACCCCCTGGCAGTGAATTCCACATTTTTAAATCCCTCTCTGTATAAAGTAGTATTTCCTTTTGTCTGTTCAATCTACTGTCCATCAGCTTCATTGGATGCCCTCAAGTTCTAGCATTTTTGGGAGAGGGAGAAAAAATTTCCCTTTGTCAACTCTCTCCACCCCATACATAATTTTATAAACTTCTTTCATGTCCCCTCCTTAGTCATCTCTTTTCTTTACTAAACTGAAAAGTCCCAGACTCTTCAGCCTTTCCTCATAGGGAAGGTGTCCCAGCCCCCTAATCCTGTCTGGGGAAGGCATGGAAAGGCACAGGACTGGCACTTCCATGTGGCTTCAGTGGTAGGGCCAAGAGCAGGAGGCATGGGGCTAGGAAGGAAAAAATGTGAGAGCTAGGGTTGCCAAGTCTTACCTTTCGCTGGAGCGGGGAACTCCCGGCTCTTTCCCGGAGCGCGTACACACCACAACGACATCACCCGGAAGTGACGTGATCATGCTGGGCACACTGGGGGTGGGGCCACAACCATCCGAGGGAAAACCATAGAGTTTTCCCTCGGATGATCGTGGCCCCGCCCCCAGCATGCCCGGCGTGGTCGTGTCACTTCCGGGTGACATGCACGTCACGTACTTTGGGGGTGGGGTTCCCCCTGGGGCCCGATCCGCCAGTGGTGGGGAACGGGCCTCTGGGACGGGGTTTTCCCCGCCCCCTGGGTGGACTTGGCAAGCCTAGTGAGAGCAGAAAGGCGGAGCTAGGGAGAATAAGGAGGAGAAAGTAGAGTGTGGATCAGGGAGAAGAGGGGAGTTAAAAACCTGGCTCTCTCGCTCCCCCATTGTGGAGTATAGAGACGAAGGAGGGAGAAAATTCCCCGTGGAGTGTGGAGAGAAAGGGCAAAGAGAAAACACTCCTCTATAGGGGCAGAGCCAGGGCTTTTGTTCTGGGGGAATGCGCCGGAACAGAGTTCCGGAACATCTTTGACAAAATTCTTTTTAAAAGGTTTAAAAGTTCATGAGTTTTCAGTATGCAGATCAAAGACTTTATTTCCCTGTTGAGAGTTCCGGCACCTATTTTTCAAAAAAATAAATAAAAAATTGCCCTGGGCATAGCAGAACCTTGTGACCCATGTGAAGTAAATTGTGGTATACCCACCAAAAGGTATTTAAGGAACCTTGAAACTGTTGGCAGGTGGAGCCTCACTGAAATCTGCCAGGCCTCTTGTGGAAAGTCTATCTTCCCCATGGAATTGCCCCAAGGATCCCTGGGCAGATGTATAAACCATCACAAGTGCTATTGAAACCGGGGGTGGGGGGGGGGAATCAGCTGTGACCAAAGGCCATTGTTTTCCAATGAAAAATAAGTCACAAATAGCTTGACCAGAGGCATTATTATGAAAAGTCCTACTGACTTCATGGCTTGAGACAACTTACCTGAAGGAATTCATACTGCTCTGCTCCATATAGCCTGTTGGCAATGCTCAGCGCATAGTTTTTGGTGTGCCGGTTGATGGCAGCCATGAGCTCCTTGAACTGGGAGTGCAGTCCTCCAGGTCTATCACACTGAGCTCCTGCAGCCTTCAAAAGCAAAGTTTGTTCAGTAGGACTGTTTACTATGAATACAATGTCCTATATACTAATGTCTGTATCTAAGAAGGCCTCTATTTTTCCTCATGACATTTCAGGGGTCATTTCGTAGAAAAAGAGCTAGGGGAACTCATTAGCATAACTCATTAGCATATGCCACCCCCCTGACATCAGGGGCCCGGCGGTGGACCTGCAAGGCCGGCAGGAGTGCGAGGAAGCCCCGCCAAGGCCCTCCCTGGCCCCAGGCAGGCAGGGGTGGGGAGAGGCAGGGAGGAAGCAACTTACCCTCCCTCTTCTCCTGCCTCCTCCTGGCTGAATGAGGGCTGGAAGCGAGGTGGCGGGAAGCAGGGGCGGGGCTTCATCATGTGCCCCGCCCCCCACACCTCACCTGGGGGGAACTGCGATCCCCCGCGTTCCCCCCCCCGAAATGACCTCTGTGACATTTGCTATTTCCTGTTGCATGCTTTACTCCAGCCCATTCATGAACTATCTAGCTCATGCTTAGTTTCAAGATAAAGGTTATATTTTTAAATATATATATATATTTTTACTATTTCCTATGCCTTCTACCATTTGGATTTGGAAAAGGAAAAAAAAAGAATGATGTATCATAGACTATTATAACTATTTAAAAACATGTGCAATAAAATTTGGCAACAGCTTCCAAGTTTCCAACCATTTTCTTTATCAACAGAAAACAACCATTTCAAGATAATATAATCACTAGAACACTGAATGTCAGAATTGACAAAAGTTTCCAAGATATCATATCTGGCTTTAACAAACAAAGATCAATGTAACATGTGTGACACAGTTTCTATTGCTCCAGAAGCACAAAAGTGCTTTCTTTCCACCCCGGGAATGCCTTTAAACCCTCCAACATATTTGGATGTTGGAAGCAAATTGCATCTTGCTAATAAAATTAATCATCTCTTTTTAGGGTTTTGCATAGTGATCAAATAGTTGGCAACTGTAAAACAAGTAGTGGGAATATACCAGTAATAAAAAGGTAAAGGTTCCCTTTCTCGAAAGCCAGTTGAATCCGACTCTAGGGTTGTGGTGCTCATCTCCGTTTCAAAGCCAAAGAGCCAGCGCTGTCCGAAGACGTTTCCGTGGGTCATGTGGCCGGCATGACTAAACACCAAGGTGCACGGAACCAGTAGTACCAGTAATACAGAGGAGAATACTTCCTATACAAATCAGTATGGAGCCCGGACCAGTCTTGCAATAAAATAGCTTTGCTTATTATGTTTTTAATAATTAATTAATTTAATAATTTAATAATTATTAAGAAATATAACACATAATAAAACTATAATAACATTAATAATTAATAAAAATAATAAAGTCAATAATTAATCTTTAAATTAATTTATCATTTATCATTAATTTAACATTAAATTATCTGTTGAAAATCCCGGCTCACTCAATGTACCAAGAAAAGCATTAAGGCCCGATGATAGGTCTTATCTTGTAAGACTTGCCAATCGACTAGGAGGTTCTAGCTTGCATAGTTTCATGTAATTGATCATAGGAACACGTGTATTATTTAACCCTGACGAGATAAGGTACCCTGATCTGTATCTCCCTTCCCCCCAGTTCAGGCGCTGAAATATACTTACTGGGGGACTGCTTCCAGATCCAGTGACCTCATCGAAGCAAAGAGCCTGTAACACAAAATAAAAGTGGCAGCTGTTAGGTGATGTTTCTAATCTGTGGAACTGTGGAGTAGCCTGTTTCAGGCAAATTTGGTTTTTGTTGCAAGTACCTTTTCGTTTTGGGGGGTTATTTTTTGCTGAGGCTTAAAAAGGAGTGTTCCCTCCCTCCCAGGTTGATGTTATGAGACATGTTCTAGGGATGTTCAGACAGCTTATGTATTCTAGAGCCAAACCCAAGCACCTCAGGCCTCACCAATGCATCCTGATGCACAACTTCTACTTTACATCACAGTGTAATTTTATCTATTTGTTTATCTATTTATTTATTTATTCGTTAGATTTCTATCCCGCCCTCCCGCCGAAGTGGCTCAGGGCGGCTCACAACAATTATAAAACCAGCATAAATACATACATAAAATACAACTCAATAAAATAGCTCAGCTCATTTCCAATTAAATAAATACAGTTAATACCATCTAAATGTGGCGGTGTCGTATAATAAAGTGCAAGTGCAGCACAGCCGATATAGGGTCTTTCCTACTGGAATGCCCGGCAAAAAAGCTCCGTTTTCATGGCCCTGTGGAATTGCTGGAGGTCCCGCAGGGCTCTGATCTCACTGGGGAGCTCATTCCAGAGCGTCGGCGCCACCAGGGAGAACGCCCTGGTCCTGGTCGCCACCAACCTGGCATCCCTAGGTAGATGGAGCTGAGAGAGCTCTGACAGAAACTGCTCTTTTTCAAGAACAGCTGTGCCAGAACTATGGCTTGCCCGAGGTCATCCAGCCAGGTGCAAGTGGAGGAGTGGGGAATCAAACCCGGTTCTCCCAGATTAGAGTCCGCGCACTTAACCACTACACCAAACTGCCTTTCTTGTAGCCCTCCCCCCATGTCCAGGCATACTGAGTCACTCACTCCAACAGGAACATGATTTGAAGATCACTGCTCTGCCATTTTGTTGAGTCTGGTGCCAGTTTGCTGTAGTGGTTAAAGTGCACGGACTCTAATCTGAAAGAACCGGGTTTGATTCCCCCACTCCTCCACTTGCATTTGGCTGGATGACCTTGGGCAAGCCGTAGTTCTGATAAGAGCTGTTCTTGAAAAAAGAGCAGTTTCTGTCAGAGCTCTCTCAGCCCCACCTACCTCACAGGGTGTCTGTTGTGGGGAGGGGAAGGGAAAGGAGTTTGTAAGCCGCTCTGAGACTCCTTTGGGTAGTGAAGGACGGGGTATAAATCCAATCTCTTCTTCTTCCGCTTCCCACATTATTTCTTTCTGCTAAGTCCCAGGGAAATGGCTGAGCATTTGCCTATTCCAGCATGAATATCTCTGCTCTTTCAATGGCTTCTTTACAATGCAGATCTTCATATAGCCTGTAGGTATTTTAAGTATGTGCAATAGGGTTGCCAATTCCAATTTGAGAAATCCCTGGAGATTTGGGGGTGTAGCCTGGGAAAGGACCTCAGTTAGGCATAATTTCATAGAGTCCATCCTCCAAAGTAGCCATTTTTCTTCTGGGGAACTCATCTCTGCAGCCTGGAGATCAACTATAATCCCAGGAGATATCCAGCCCCCATCTGGAGGTTGAACTTTGTAAGAAAAAACAACTGTGATATGATAACGAAACCTTGTTAGAGAAAAATATATCTTTAATTATCCAGTGAATAACAAGTCAAAAAGGTGTTTTCTTTGAAAGACATTGGTCTCATGTTTTTCCTTCTGACGGTACGGCACTCATTTTACTCAAGGGCTGATTTCGCACTAGAGCTGCCTCGATGTTGCGCCTCCATTTGCCCCCATACTATTGGTCAATTTCACACCCGAAGCCGCGGGGCTGCATTTGACCCACGGCTTTGCCCGATTCCCTCCGCAGTTTCATGATCCTCAAAAAACAGGATCACAAAACTGCGGGGAAAATCGGGCGAAGCCGCGAGTCAAAATGCAGCCCCGCAGCTTCGGGTGTGAAATTGACCAATAGTATTGGGGCAAACGGCGGCGCAACATCGAGGAAGCTCTAGTGCGAAATCAGCCATGATGGTTTCATCAGATGAGACCTTACGCCTTTTGTAATTTTTCTACTCCCTCTTCCTTCGTAGCTTATATAATTTGGTAGAAAAAATACAAAAGGTAGAAAAAATACAAGAGGCGTAAGGTCTCATCTGATGAAACCCTGAGTGAATGGTCCATTGAGCACCGTACCGTCAGAAAGAAAAACTTGAGACCAATTCACTTCAAAGAAAACACCTTTATGACTTGTTATACACTGCATAATTAAAGAAGATACATTTTTCTCTTACAAGGTTTTGTTATCATATCACGGTTGTTTTTTCTTACAAGACTTGTTATTCACTGCATAATTAAAGAAGATACATTTTTCTCTAACTTGGTTTCGTTATCATATCACGGTTGTTTTTTCCTCACAAAGTTCAGCCTGTCCCGTGAAATCTCGTCCTTGACTTTACCCACCTGGAGGTTAGCAACCCTAATGTACAAAGCATATCACAAAGAAATCTTAGAAAGTGAGGGTACCAAAGGCCAGTCAGTAAGAACGGTCCTCTTCATGATTCCAGGGAGTAGCATGATCAATGTAACTACATTCCATGCACACAGACAGGGCACTACTGGAAAGCACTTCCTGATGGTTTCACTCAGGGCCCAGCAGGAACTCATTAGCATAATAGGCCATACCCAACAGCAGGAACTCATTAGCATATTGGGCCACACCCTGACAGCACAGCTCATTTGCATATTAGGCCACACCCCCATGTTACCAGAAGTGTGGTCATTCAGCCACACCTACCTTTTGCTTCTTATTCTCTTTACCTTGTTTGTTGTCAAAACCAGGGCTTTTTGCAAATTAGGCCAGACACCCCTAATTGTAGCCAATCCTAATGGGTTTCTGCTGTTGGATGTGGCCTATTATGCTAATGAGTTCCTGCTGGGCGTGGCCAACTTGGGAGCCAGACGGAACTCAGTTCCTGTGTGTTCCTGTCCAAAAATAGCCCTGGTTTCACCCATACAGCTGGGATAATGTAAAAACAGGCCTTACATGCATGATCTGTCCCTTTACATGAGGCAGAGTCGTTAGGGAGGGGATACCTACCCTTTCCATCTGTTTAGCAGTGTCACCTCTGGCACCGAACTGCACCATGGCCAAAGCTGCTGAGACACTAACTGGGGAGAAGAAGACATTCTTTTTCGGTGTTTCCTTGGCCAAGACTTTGAAAAGGTCCACACAAAACTTGGTATTTGCCTCTGTGAGGGTGCTCATGGTGGCGTTGATTGTACCTGGGACAAAAAGATCGGATTAGTCCTTGTGCTCTCGTTCGTCTTGGACCTCTTAAAACAAGGAAAGGACAGCAAATATGACGGGGCAATCTCCCATTTCCTAAGATCAAGGCAATGATGGAAGGGGTCTGATGACAACTTCCCGTGGCCTAAAAGACCCAAGCTCACTTGAAATGTGAACGAAGGAACTCACACACAAGGATCCCTGTAGAGACAGAGCCTGTAAATTCAAGATCTAAAAGTTATTTGGGGGGGGGGAGGATGTGCAAGTCACTCTTCTTTATTTTGTCATTTCTATAAAATTGTCAGAACCCACAGCTAACAATGAAGTACACGCATTCAGGAACGGTTATACTTTTATTGCAAAGCTATAGATGCAGTAACAAAGGCACTGTTAAGAATGGCCACAGCCAATAGAGCATAATAGTATATAGGGTATTCGTATGCACCCCCCCCATGGCATTGGCCAATTAGGCACCCTCCCGCGCGTGGGATAAGTTAGGAAACCGTTAGGTGGCTAAAGCTGAGAACCAGGAGTCTCTCACGGTACATAGGGGACCTCCAGACCATACAACCTCCTCCTGCACATCTGTAGAGATAAGCGTTTCGGCAAAGGCAGAACAGCATAGATAGGAATGCAATAGCAATTAACAAGACACAGACTGAGCTCCCCAACCCCCATGGCAGCGTAGCTGACGAAAATATGAATCAACCCTTGGATGGAAATCTGCCATAAGCCATTCAAGACCTTTGGTCCATCAGGCTTGCTCTAGTCCAATCTGACATACAGTGAGTTGTCTAATCCTATCCTAGAGGAAATCGCACCCTTGAACAAAAACACCTTATACAGAATCAGATCACTGGCCCATCAAGGTCGGTATTGTCTACCCAGACTGGCAGTGGCTCTCCAGGGTCTGAGCCAGAGGTCATTCACATCATCTACAGCCTGATGCTTTTAACTGCCAAAGAAAGCAGAATTATTGAAAGCAGAGGTGAAAGAGTTTAGCTCACCTTGTACTTATAAGTCTATGGATGCTGGCAACCTTCCCTCTTCAAGTATGAACATTTCTCCCCTTTTGGCATTCCTTATATAGTTTCCCTCTTGGTTAACACAAAACCAACATTCACAATCTCCTTTAGCAATATTGTGGGTTTTATGCTCAGAAATGTGGACAGAGCGACTTCTGAGAAGTATTTGTACATGTTTTCCAACCTTCCATATGTCACAATAGTTTCTGTATACTCTGTCCAGAATATGGGTGCATAACTTTGTCTTAGTGAGGAATTGGCTGGATTCCCAGATATAAACCTTTTATGAAGACCTGTTTCAAACACAACTTTCAGAAACTGTGAAGGACAATGACTCTAGTATTGTGTGTCACCTCAGCACTGGACATTGTTTGTATTATCCATACACGTCTTTGTCTTGCACATAAACAACTGAATCCTCAAGAATTCTTTCCAACAAACGCTTTAGAAATTGTGAAGGAGAGTCCTATCAAACAAGTGCTGTGAAAGTATTTGGGAGCTCCCAAGGCCAATTCACACTATGCGCAGCATGTTTGTTTAGGATAGTACCAGAGGTCATTTCAGGGGGGAAACGCGGGGGATCGCAGTTCCCCCGGGTGAGGTGCAGGGGGGCGGGGCACATGACGAAGCCCCGCCCCCTGCTTCCGGCCGCCCCACTTCCAGCCCTCATTCAGCCAGGAGGAGGCAGGAGAAGAGGGAGGGTAAGTCGCTTCCTCCCCGCCTCTCCCC